AAACATTATTGTCAAGTAAAGAATAGATTTAGAGTTATATAATCATCTTGTAAATAGTATAATAGTAGATTATGTACACTTTCATATAATATTTAATATATTGAGAGTTTGTATAATATTGTGTTAAACATTATTGTCAAGTAAAGAATAGAGTTAGAGTTATATAATCATCTTGTAAATAATGAAGTAATAAATGTTTGACATTTCAGGATTTACATGTAGTGAATTGCGTACACTATGCTCTTGTAAATAGTATAATAGTAGATTATGTACACTTTCATATAATATTTAATATATTGAGAGTTTGTATAATATTGTGTTAAACATTATTGTCAAGTAAAGAATAGAGTAAGAGTTATATAATCATCTTGTAAATAATGAAGTAATAAATGTTTGACATTTCAGGATTTACATCGGATATATGGCAGGTACATTGACAGAGATTCGGAGGTTGAGAAGAACATGTAAGTATACACTTTTCTGGTATCTTTAATGTTTGTACTAAATCTGTAACATAATTGATATTGAATACGTATATATATATATATATAAAGTTTAATACAAGGTTTTCCCTGCTACTTGTTTATGAAATGAGTGCAGCAATCCATTCAGAATCGTTCACACCTATATAATCCACAAGTTGAAAGACATTTGATTACCTCTTTTTTGACAGTTTCTGAGCTGACCCAACAATGGAGTGCTTCTATTCACCATGCCAGGAAGTGAAAAACATTGAATCATAAACAAATTTAGTTCCTTTTGGTGTAAGAAAATGTAGCAAAGAAAATTGACATTAGTAGGTCGGATATTATTTTTATTTCGATGATTGGCAAAGCCGAGTATGAAACTCACTGTGAATTGAGTTGACTATGAAAATGTCCTTGGAGTAGATGTCATAAGAATAACAAGTGAATAACTTATCAGGGAGGTAATTTTATACTTTAAAACAGTGGAAAGTTTGAGTGGCTGGAGTTATTTGTACTTTAAGATTCCCCCCCACCCCCTTTGCAAGTGTCGAGCAGTATATTCAAACTTATTACATGAAGTTTGGAAGTGTTATTCTAATTGAACTTTTTCCTCAGAGAAAAATTTAGCCTATAGTTATTCATATTGTGCAGATATATATTGAAACTTGAAAATATATCTTAAGATATTCTAATACTGTACTATTATATCCTCTTTCCCCTTCAAAGTTCATTTCAGGCATTCCTAAATAAGACCCTATGTGACTGGTTTAATATCACAATAAAAGTTTTAAGGCTGGTAGTACGTTGAAGTGGTTGAACTTTTTCAGATGAGTAAGAGGAAATGGCTTTTTGTCTTTCTTTTAATGGTCTATGTCTAATGGTGATTGTTTACCTAATGAATGTAATGGATAAATAATTTTATTAGCATATGATTTGCCATTGCTGATTCATTACTGAAAAGATGTGTTTTATAAGTCAGCTGAAATAATTGAAATGGAATTTCAGGTATGATGTACGTGTCATGAAGGAAGGTCGAATGAAAGGTCAAGCATTTGTGACACTGGCCAGTGAAAAGGAAGCTTCGAAAGCTGTTGCAGAAACAAATGGATTCCTACTGTATGGAAAGCCGTTAGTTGTAGTATCCTTTTTAGTTTACTCTGATATTATGGTAAATATTTCAATATTCTCTAACCTCAGGGTTAGTATTTATTCAAGTAACCTCTCTGAATATCTCAGGATTGTATGTAAGACCAACTATACTTGTCGCATTAATCTTGTTATGGTAAATATTTCAATATTCTCTAACATCAGGGTTAGTATTTATTCAAGTAACCTCTCTGAATATCTCAGGATTGTATGTAAGACCTACTATACTTGTCGCATTAATCTTGTTATGGTAAATATTTCAATATTCTCTAACATCAGGGTTAGTATTTATTCAAGTAACCTCTCTGAATATCTCAGGATTGTATGTAAGACCTACTATACTTGTCGCATTAAGCTTGTTATGGTAAATATTTCAATATTCTTTAACATCAGGGTTAGTATTTATTCAAGTAACCTCTCTGAATATCTCAGGATTGTATGTAAGACCTACTATACTTGTTGCATTAACCTCAGTGAAAGCTATTAGTTGTGGTGCCATTTAGAATTTGATTTGTTGACTCTCCTGTGTACTTAAAGGAAGCTTAGTTGTGTCCAAGATAATTAAGGAGATTTGAGGTACTTGGGTTAATGGCTAGCTAGTGGAAATATGCTTTTAGTATAATTAAGATAAATGTAACATTTAATATACTGGGTGATTATAAGGTTACTGAGGATAGTTCAAGTAGTCTATAGGTTTAATTGTGTAACATGTGGGCAAAATATATTGTGTAAGGGGTTGTGGAAGTGTCTGTAAATGACACTAGAGGAATCACTCTAGCAGCTGTTCATTGTTGCCTCAATAATTGTTCAATAACTATATCCATTCAGGCAAAGGTATTGTATATAACTTCTCTAAAATTGCCCAAACCTTCACTGCCTGATTATGGTGAGAAAGCCTCATAAATAGTAGTTAGCAGGAATGTGGTGCATCTTGGACAGAACCGTGCCTTTTGGAGACCCTCTATGACATGAATGTGCAATAACTTGTAACTTTTTAACTAGTGACTGTGGACGTTGCTAAGCTTGGAGTGTTTGTTCCTCAAACAAGAAATGGCCCCAGGACAAAGCTGTGGAATCAACCTCTTTTTAACCTTGGGGAATGGAAGGATTTCTGCAGCTTATGGATTTCCAGTGACCTACGTGATACAGTTATGCCTCACCCGTCTACAGGGTGTACCTTGACCATTTTCATCAGAACTTGCCATGAGCTCTGCTACAAATCTTTTTGCCATTCATAGATACTATTTTAACTCCTTAACATGAAGTGGTGCAGAGGAACATGTACAAAGCTATTCACAAAGATGACCATGGTAAATCAGTCTGACAAGACAAATCCTTGGCTGTGCTTGGATGTATGATAAATAGATCCTTAACCCTAGAATGTCAGTATTAAATTTTCAATCATTAACACTAGGTGGTATTGGTTTGTAGTGACCCCACGCTGTCAATCTGGGGTTAAACATGGGTTTCAATGGCTTAAAAGAACCTCCACAACTTGCACCATGTATAGATTCTTAAACAAAGGTTTCAGTAGTGTATAGAGCCTCTGCAGATGGACCTTTAAGCAAGCATTTCAATAGTGTACAGAATATTCACGTCTTGTGCCATAAGTGGATCATTAAACAATGGTTTCAGTGATGTAAAAGGATCTCCACATCAGTTGTTTGTAGACATTTGTGTTGGGCATTTGGCCACACTTCCTATTTCTTAGAACTTTCTGCCCAATTTGCCACCAGCATCAGCTGTGCATAATCTGCTTCTTGTGTTGGATTTGTGGCAGTGCGACCAGAGTGCTTACTCAGTATTGGAACTATTTTGATCATTGTTCTTCTCCATGAGGGGACAGCATGGCTCAATGGCATCCTAAAGCAAAGTACTTTATCCCACTTGTTTCAATCTACTCAAATCTGAGCACCAGCTGTTAGCTGGGGGTTAACCTGCAATGGACTGGCATCCTATCCAGGGGAGTTGCCATTTTCATCCACTTGTACCATTTTAAACCAAAGTTCAAAAGCAACAGCCCTTGCAAAGGCATGACAAGGATTTAATTTCTCCACTAATGTTGTCTGTTGTTTCAAATTTGACATTGTATTGTGCCTTCTACTGCTGATGAAAGAATAACTTTTGTTTATTCCACCCTGTGCTTTTATATTCGTCTACATAATGTGCAGCACCCCTTGTGCCATTTCGAGAAATGGCTGAGTGTACTCTCTATGGCTCCTTATGCATTTGCACAAAATATTTTATCTACATGTTATAATATAAATAGTGTTTCAGCAGTGGCTTTGTGTGTTTGATTCCTAGCTGGCCTGACAAGTTCTTGTATTGAGCAAAAGGCCTTGTTGGCAGAAACATGCCATGAACAAGGTTACGTTCTTGTAACTTAAAACCTGTTGTATAGGGGCCATTCAAGAAATATTTTGAAAAAAACAATTATTGTCAGTCTTAGTCTGTTATGGTTTGGATTGGGTGATTCTGTTGAACTGGCTTGCTATAACTTGATGAGATAGTGATGTAGCTGGATTAGTTCAGAAAGATTCTGCAGTCACAGGTGGCAGAACTGTAGTGGTAATGTGTGTAGGGAAGATGACTTTTACTATTTCATATTACGTAGTCAGTGGTGGTTAGGCTAAATTTTTTAGCAGAGCTGAGTGATTATTGGTATTTGCTAAATGAGCATTTATCAGGCTCATTAATAAATTACATTCAACTAATTGATTATCCTCACATGACTTCAATAGTTGGAATAATAGAAAATAGTAATAATTGGAAACACTAATTTTCATTAGTTGGTTACTTCGTTACATTAATCCTTTTGAGATGGGTCATGGGTGAAAAGCCATATCATCTCATTTGTTGACTCGAATTCAAAATTTTATTGAACTACTATTTCATGAATTTATGTCAATAACTTTGATATCCAGTTGTAGATTATAATTCACATTTTAGTACTATATATTACTCAATGTTAGAAATGGCATCAAGTCCGTTAAAATGGCTAAGAAAGCCACTAGGGGACATTCTGAGCTTTCAATTTGTTATTTAATGCATATATATAGAAGTAAGTGTATATAAGGGAAAGTAATGAGTGGGGTGCTACTGTGTTTGATTTATTACATAAGCAATATCTTATTTTATATTCTAGCTTGTCAATATCAATAATTTGAGTTCCAAATT